ACGAGAGTGAACTATGGCCATCGAGGACTACGAAGCGTCCCATGGGTGTTTTTAGCATGATAACAAGCATTCGAGGAAACGCTCGTTTATTTGAATGTCCATCGAGCCATAAGCAATTTACTCTGAGCAGCTAATTGGATGCTACGGATCTAGCTTCAGTATCTACACACATAGACAGTGAGTTCCCTCTTGGCCAATCGGAGGCCAGGATGATGCTCGGTAAGCCAATGGCAGAGCAGCTATGAGTATGTTGCTACAGGAAACTCTGCAGCTGTGACCGAAATAAACATCGTTCACTATGTAAACCAGTGTGGTGTTTGCTGTTGCCTTTTTTCGAACGAAGCAGTAGAGGTCGCTGTTGGATAAGACTTCGTTGTAGTGAACGTCTTTGCGAGGCTGGAGCAGAGAAAATGATTTTGTATAACGCAACAGGGGGGTTTTCGTCGTATGGGGGGCAGGAGAATGGGAATTGTGTTAATGCATGAAGATTTTTTCACATAAGGGGGTATTTTCGCCTATGTAGGTTTCATTCGAGAGGAGTTTCACTGTACTGTATTTCAATATCTGCCATTACGGTGCTCTAAGTATATTTTGCGTGTAGCACTATAAAGTGTAAGTGTGAGAGCCACTGGCTTACATGACTCCTCCCCTTGCTGCTGCAATGTCCTGAGAGATTCCTTCAGTTTCCTCACTAACTCTTCTTTCATATGCAGAACAGTGGTCATCCTCTCGATCCTGAGAGACGGGACAGAATGTTAAGAACAGGGAAATGATGGTACTGGCACTGTTCTGGCCGGTCCTTACTCTTGCTGATGTTTATCGGAAGCAACGCTCAACTCCATTTCCTTCATGAACAATTGAGCTTGGGCTTTCTGCAGCTCAGCAACTGAAGGCGGCGCACATTTCTATTAGGAAATCAATGTGGGAATGAGAAAGCATTTCAGTAATGTGTGTGTTTTACTTGCGAGAGAAGACAACTTTTTAGTGTGAGCGTGTCAGTTGTACATGTGAGGAAAGAAAATTCTGCAGTCTGTGTAAGAGTGTTTCGGTTGTGAGAGTTTCAGTCGTGTGTTGTGTGTGTGTATACAAATGATGCCAAATATCCAAAGTGTTTGAGAGCTTCAATTGGAGCGTGTGAGAGGTAATCCTGAATAATCGGGTTCTATACTATACTACACTATCACCCCCCCTCATACATTTTAAGGAGTGATGTTGAAACCAACCTCAGACTCCTGCAGTTGGCTCTTCAGGGTTTTGATGGCATTCTTCAATTCTTGAACTTGGACCCCGCTTGCTTCAAGTTCTGTCTGGAGTCGCTGAATGTCCATCTTGTAGCCAGAGATGCAGCTGTGATTTTTTTGCTGGGCCTCTTCGAGGTGCTTATTCTTGAGAGACAAAGCCTGATGAAGACAACATGTTACAATTTTGCTAATAAGAATCATGCCAACTTCTGTACAAAAAAAATATATACTTTTTTTTTTTTTTTAATCAATAAAAAAAAAGTCTTTCCCGCCTGTATGCATATCTGGTAATGCTGGAAAAACGCATATCTTCAGACTATGAGTCCAATCATGTACTTACTTATAAATATTGTGATTGGAAGATTTAGAGCTACAGTGAATCTCTATTCATCATGGTGTTATGTTCCACACTCATCCGCATTCCACACTGTATTATAAAACAATGAATTGAATAAACGTCTGCTATCTTACTGCTATAATATATTGCAGCATGTCCTATTTAAGCAAAATGGAAGTTAGCATAGATAACAATTCATCCATTATTGGATCTGCTCAACGAGGGTCGCGGGGGTACTAGAGCCTATCCCAGCTGTCTCGGGGGGGAGCAGGACCAGCCAATTACAAGTTAGTATAGATACGTTTATGGTAAAGCTTCGAACAACTGGTACTTGCACACACAGCAGCAACACAAAAACAGAGCACACAATATGCACAGGCATGTTTGCTACACTTTTTGCTCGAAATTAGGCTGCATACTTTTTAGTTGCAGTTGCCTGTCGTTTTTTTTGTACTGAATGTGGACATTTCTACCACACAACATGCTTGCTGTCATGTATAAGAATCAAGGAAAAAGTGCATACAGGTACATCTAGATAGACAGAGTAGATAGATATTTTTAAGGGACATTTTAAGAGCCGTAATTTTAATACTGCAATATTTTTGTTCACGGTTATCATACCTCCAGAATTTAATATCGGCCGAAGCCTATATGCAATGTGGCTGCTATCCTAAATAGGTGGTGAGTAGAGTGATCATAATTCTAATGCTCACAATTGTGTATGGGATATGTGTTTGGTATTTGGGCATTGTTATTGCTCGTAGTCCTCAGTACGTCTAATTCAAAATGTAACAATATAAATGGAGAACATTAACTACTAAGTGAAGCCATGGTTAGTTAACTGTGGTTGATACATCCTGTGATAGTCACAAACCTAAAATGATGATACTTACTTTGACTCTCTCCTCAGCTTGATGGAGTAGAAGAAGTTCTTTGTTGTTACTGAGCAAAGTCAGCTCTGGCCTTGCTGGAGTTTCCTCCAGCCTCTGTTGCAAAGTGACACACTTGCTTTTTTCTTCTTCCAACTGGAATTGAGCCTGCGCCGTCAACTGCTCCAATTCCTGACACTGAACATTGCGGTCATCAACGAGGCCCTGTAAGGAGTTCGGAGAGATGATGAGCTTTGCATGCATCGGCAATTTTAGAGCCAAAATCCAAATATTGACGTGTTTCCATCAATTCTATTATGTGGCATCAGGGGGTTGTTGTTCCAAAGTGAAACGTGCGTCTATACCAGGAACATAAAACAGGTGGAGTTTGTCAACAATAAATTATTAAAGGGTCTGTATCATGTAAAATTTTTAAAAACATTTTTTAGCCATGTTAAAATTTCTCATCAAAAACATCCCCAATAATACATTTTCCCAGTCTCAGCTCTTGTTCCTAACCTTTCACAATATTTCACACAGAGCAGTGAAACAACACCCCTTTTACATGAAATATTGGTTTACTGAGAAACACCTGGTGGCAAATGTTACCTTCCATCTTTGTAACAAAAGACAAGGAAAAGTATTCATCTTTACATAAAATCATGCCGCTCTATATAAGTGGATATTAATGGATTTCTGAGAGAAATATATCCAGGGTCATCAACTACTTTCCAACGTTTTCACACCAGTGAAACCAATGTTCAAGGAATTTGTAGTGTGTTCACTCTCAACACAAGGTGGGAGGGGCTGGGGGGCTTTGAAACAAATGATGTAAGCACTGTACAAGAAATATACAGAGGACATCCACAGAGCATATGCTGTTACTTTGTCCTTAAATTCAATATATACAATTCCTACCAAGCATCAAAACTTACCGATAACTGTTTTTGTTTGTTTAAAGAGTGATAGCCTGGCTAATATCCCCGCCCTCCTCCCCACAAAAAAAATAATAAATAAATAAATAAATAAATAATAATAATAATAATAAAATTAGGTCAAAAAATGAATACATGAGTACATAAAACACACCTGCAAATATATTTGTCTGCTTTGCAACACTGCAGACCTGCTGTCAGCCTCAGCGCTAAAGAGGCTGTGCATCCGACTGACAACTAATGGCGGCCTAGAATGCTCATCCTGCATCAGCTTTAAGAACCTGGTCCTTTCTCTGACCTCAGCGGAAACTTCATTGCGGTAATAATCCAAGCCGGACCAAAGTTTCTCCAAAATATCGCCCATTTCCTGTAAAACCAAGCATGTTTGTCGGTTTTGAAAGCAGCAAAAATCAAGAGATTATGCTGGTACAAGTAATCCCCGGAGCCCTGCAGAATGGAAAAATGGCCAGCAATTGATATCCCCACCACCAAAACAAATTGATTA